GTAGTTTTGTTTGTAACGCGAGTGTAGGTAGATTACTCGTTTGTCTCTTTTTTCATCCTAACCACTTATTTATATATTATTCCAGATATTTTGCCCGATGGAAAAACCGAAATACCTAAATATTAGAAACAAATTACGTAGTAGTAGATAGGTATATAAAAAATATTCAATAAAGGTAAGACACCTTTCCAATATTTCAGGTAATTTAAAAAATGATATCTCTGGGTGTGTTATTGAAGAGTTCAAGCAACCAAAAACAGCAATTGTGCTGTTACGATATTGATCGTCGTTTGTTCTTTTCCATACTAAACTATGTAGATATCTACTTAATTAAATCAAATATTTACAATACAAAACGCACGTTTAAGCACGGCTAATTGCATAAAAAACAATTCAGACCGTTCGGTCGTCGTTGCGGCGCGGCGGCGCATTCGCGACTGGGTGCCCGCCGAGAGCCCCTCGAACTCGAGTGGCGTAGGTATGACTCGCTTTCCGACCGTTTGTATGAAGATAGAATACTGTATGATATTATTACCGTGCCGTGGGTCCGTTATGCACCCATTCCGCGACACTCCGGCCGGGGCGCACCCACAGTGAAAGACTGCATTGCGGGTGCACTGTTGGTGCATTCCAGAATGGGTGCGTAAACAGCCAGATCCGAAACCGCAGATCACTTCTAGTTACTACACAAAGTACCAATTTTGATAAAGACAGTATCTACCAAACACTAAAATATCGAACGAAAAGTCCACCCATAGGTAGTAATAATAAATAAAATGATAAATTCGAAATTGAGTCTCCCTGTCAGCCAGTCTTTCTGTTACCTGGTCACGCTTTAACCACTGAACCGTTTAAGATGAAATGTTTATAAAGATAGTTTGAATATTAAAACAAAAAGGGAAGATACGGTACGCTCATACTAGCATCAAATAAAATATGATCCGACTAAACTACATAAGCAACTCTCACACACGCACGTCTGTAAATAATATTCAAGCGAGCGAGCGAGACAGAACTGTACGCTTCAACGCAGAGCGAGCGAAACGGCGAATCAGCTTCCGAGTCCGCACGGCTGAGCTGTATTGTTGTCCTTTTCTTGATAACAAAATGGCGATTACGTAAATAACATTCACGACAAACCGTGATTTATGAGAAAAAAATGGTGTTACAGTTTTACGAATGAGAAATGATGCCGAGGCGAGTTTTACAATTACGAAAACTATGATAGTTTTCGTGAGCTCAAATTCGTACTATGGGTACTGATTTTATTGTTTTCGTTTCAATACAAATAAACAGTGTTTAAATTCTATCATTAAATCATTTGCGTCTTCTTAAATTTTAAGTATATTTGTTTACTTTCCACCAAAATGGACATAGAAACATAATTTACAATTTTTACGAAAACTATGATAGTTTTCGTGAGCTCAAATTCGTACTATGGGTACTTACTGCACGCTTCAACGCAGCGCGAGCTGAACGGCGCAGCGAGTCCGCACGGCTGAGCTGTATTGTAGTCATTTTATTGATAACAATATATATATATATATACCCTAGAGACCCTTGGTCCGTGGGGTCCTAGCGCTATAAGGCTTTTTAAAGAAATAGCGAAAAGATTAGTCGACATCACAGGAGACCGAAGAGCTGGCAACTACCTCGGACAAAGAATTAGTCTAGCTATCCAAAGGGGGAACGCTGCCAGTATCTTCGGAACCTTGCCTAAAGGGACTCCTTTTAATAATGAATTTTAGTTATTATATTTTATTTTTTAAGGTTTTTAGTTTTAGGTTCATTGTTATACTTAGTATATTTTTTGTTTTAATTATTCTTAAATTTATTCATATTGCACCATATTGTTGTAAATTAAATATATTATTATATATATATATATACAGTCGAACACAGAATCTCCTCCTTTTTCGAAGTCGGTTAAAAATGGCGATTACGTAAACAACATTCACAACAAACCGTGATTTTTGAGAATAAAAAAGGTTTTTACTGTTTTACGAATGAAAAGTGTTTCCTTGGCATTTGTTACTTGATTTTGAACTATTTGTGTTCTTTATAAAAGCATCGAAAGCATTGTTCTATCTTTATAACACAGAATATGCGCAATATTGTATCTACAGCGAATTGTGATCGTACACCACAATCGCGGATCACTTTTGAGCCACGAGTGCCGTATCTTCCATTTTTGTTTTAATCTAAGATTTTAACCCAGAAATCATTCTTTTAAGGTAATCCTGTAAAAAGGGAGGGGAAACCAAAAGAGACAATGTCGCAAACACCAGCTAATCTTAGGGTGCGGCCAGAGTGCACTCAGATTCAGACTCAGATTCAGATTTCGAAAACAAGCGCGAGAAATAAACAGTGTAGTCTAAGCAGGTTGCTTGCTTTTTCTCGCGCTTTGTTTTCTGAGTCTGAATCTAAATCTGAATCAGGAGTGCAATCTGGCCGTAACCTTCGACTACACTGTTTATTTCTCGCGCTTGTTTTCAGAATCTGAATCTGACTCTGAATCTGAGTGCACTCTGGCCGCACCCTTATATATGAGGCCATGAGTACCATAGTGCCCTAACTCATTTTTTAACCATAAACCATTTAATATGGCACCTAAAATTTTGATCACAGACTAAAAACCGTAACAGTAATTATGCTGCCATCTAGTGAATATTCGTTGTATCACTTTTAGACCACTCCGGTTCTATCAAAATGATCAATTTGAACTGGAAAAAATCATAAACTCAATATTATAAATAAAGAGTTAGGCCACTATGGTTCTCATGGCCTCATATGTCACATCTCTGCAAGCCAATTATGCTCGCTAATTGTGATATCGTTTTGATGTCAATTTCATATTACGTATTATGCTCTCCGAAAACTGCGATATCAAAATGACATCAACTTATGCATATTATGATCAATTCTTTAAAATGATATCAACTTAGATGCGTATTACGTTCAACTTTTTGACTTAAAACAGTATCGCATAAACGTCAAAAATGTGATACAGGATATGATATTGATGTGATCTTGATGTGACATAGGAATGTTTCATAATACCATTTAAAAACAATGTCAACTTGGCATCAACATCATATTGACATCACATTAGGATTATATCACTAAAGCTTAATTGACCCGCTGGATGGCTGCGACACACATTGTCGTTGTCACATTGTCGTTTCTCTGGAAAACAATTTTCCTCATGGATTGAATTTCTATTATTAGTCAATGCCTCGCAGGGGATGCAATAGGTACGGTTAACTTAATCACTTGCCCAGAGAAAAGATTTGTCTCAATTTTCGCCTTAATTCTTTTTAGGGGAGGCTGGGCTAAAGCAAATGCGTAGCAAACGTTTAGGTAGCTCCGCAATATTAGAAATGTGAAATGTTTCGATCGTATAGTTGTAACTCAGCACACAAAAAAACTAAACTTGGGCTACAATAAGATGTTGTGTGGAGTATAGATAGAATATTGAACAAAATATTTGGGCATCCAGTCCACCAAACCTAAGCTGTGGTTTCGCTTACGATTACACCATATGAAAATTAAAAAAAACTAATTTCAATATCGTTTATTCATTTAACTTTAGTTTTTTGAGTCTCAATCCAGTTCATTAGCTATCGCCACACGTCTCTCATCAAAACGTCTAACAGTACAAAGAAATGTCACTTTAACAGCATATTTACAAGCAAGTGACGTCATTTAGGCTCCGGCAATCCTAGGAGCTCTCAGTTACATGACAATAGATTTAAAAGTGCTTATCTATTTCATGTTTTTAGTAATACTATCAACTACTTTTGTATCAGAAGGGGGCATATTTCGTGATATTATTGAACAATGTGTGATACTGTTATCCTAGTATCACGATAATATTGATCAATGTGAAATCAAAAATCATTTATTCAGTCTAGGCTGTTTTAGGCACTTGTGAATGTCGAAAAGCTACGCCATCGGTTCGCAAATCTACGGCGGGAGAACTTGTACTGAGAAGAACCGGCACACAAAGACCTTTAAATTAATTATTGATTTTGTGAAAAATAGTGTCATTACACTATTTTTTTAAACTAATCTCTTAAGTAATAATAATAATAATAATAAGATTTATTGACCAAAATAATCAGTACAGTAAGATTACGTAACAAACTTAGCACTAGTTATACAGAAAATATATTTTATTAGCCTCTGCTGCTGAACTAGGCAATGCCTGTATTTCAGCATTCAGCGCCATAAACCCCCACAGACATGAGAATACTAAACTAGACTAAATACATATCTCATGAAAAGATCAATAGGTAGCAGCAAGTATTCTTTAACTTTAATAATATAAATTGATCGAAAAGCTGTCTTCAAAAATCAATAGCGTTTATTAAGTCTAGGCTGTTGCAAGCAATTGTGGATGTCGAAAAGCTACGCCATCGGTTCGCAAATTTACGGCGGGAGAACTTGTACTGTATATATACAGCTATATTCAAGGTAACCACGGAAGACTAGCGTCGGACAGTCAACAACATCCGACACATGCTGAGTGGACTGCCTTTTTAGTGACGCAAATGTTTAGACCTAATTTATTGTATTTATGTATAAGGTATATTGTTTTCATGTACTAATTTGTGTCACTGAATAAAACATTTTCTTTCTTTCTTTATATTTTATTGAATTTAAAATGATAAAAAATTTTCGTATGCTGTTGAGTGTGTCATGGAGGCATATTTATATAAATCTTAAAAACTTATTGTTACCGATGACAACGAATAAATAATTTGATTGATTGATTGATATATTTATATATATAGCCGTATGACGCTCGTGACGCATTTCCGTTTTATCTTTTCCATGGGATTTTTCCATTTACACCCCTCCGTAAGGAAAAAACCGTAGAAATTAACACCAAAACACGACGTACACCAACTTTGCCTCACCCACTCACACTGATTAACATATATTTTCAATTTGCACCCTTATAAAAAGCTTGCATTCGAACATCCTTCCAGTATAGAGTCGAAGACAGCCTTAGATAAAGTATCTATTAAATCAAAATATTTATTTAAATAATACTTAGGTTGGTAAAACAAATAAAAATGACGTTGTCCTTTCAAATAAAGTTACTTATGCCAGTTTTGCTGTTGTCACAATATGCGTACACCGTCGATGTCAAGGTGAAGGTAAGTCTTTTAATTAATTAATACACTATTACATGAACTAACGAAATAAAATAGGGTATTTGACAAGTTTTAGAAAACGATCTCACGTTATTGACTAATGTATATGGAGTCCGTAAAAAGTGGATATTCATCATTCTGTTGCGTATTTCAGTAAAAAATGGTTGCCTGTAAAGTCGGTTTTACGGGCGAAGATTTTACGTGACAACGTCTTTTTCTCGGTAGAATATTTATTGATATGAATATAATTAAATTGCACAATAGGAACAAGGAATTGAATGAAAATAAGAATTGCACAAATTTTAACTATAGAAATATATTTTGTTTACTAAAACATTGTACATGTAAACTTAAACTTAACACGAGAGACTCATCGTAACGTTACCGAGCGTTACACTTTTTCATAAGTGACTCCCAGTCGCAACCTAATTTAAGACGTTGTCACGTCAAAATAAGCAAATAAAAAAACTCCATTTTCAAGTTGCCGCGAAAACGTTTCTCTGGACAATATGGCGTCCTACTAGTGTGTGACGTCACACGATTGTTATTAAAACGTCAAACGATACAATGTAATGTCACTTTAACCGGAAGTTTACTTGCGTGTGACGTCATTTTAGGCTCCGCCAATCCCAAGCGTTTTGGGTGACGTGACAATAGATAAGAAAACTATTATCTTTTTCGTGGGCTTTTAGTAAAATTATGAATATTTTCGTTGTAAAAATAGTAAAAACCCCTGCCAATATTCATTCTAAACACAGATGCTAACAATTGGCACTTTTTTTTTAATACTGTCAAATACCCTATTATTCTAACTAGGATTACTTTTTAAATTTTTGAAAAGTCCTGACAAAAAGCCGGCTGGACATTTCGATAAAAGTCCGGACATTTTAGTCACAAAACGCAAACATCACCCACTTAGTTACAGTGATTTTATACGCGTGGTAGCAGACGCTCGGATCGCGAGGGGTGTCTCGTTATTGATTTTTAAAGATGATTTATATTTTGTTTTAAATTAATGAGAACTTAATAAGGAATATTTGATATAACTTTATAAGTAGTTTTACTCATATTCCATCTAATTTAAAACTAAGTCCGAACAAGAGACAAAAAAATCCGGAAATGTCTGGAAAAATCCGGACGGATGGTAACCCTAATTCTAACTCAATAAAATATCTCCTATGTCAAATGACACACGCTGAAACTGGTTCAAAATTCAAAATTTGTAATTACTTTTTCAACACATTTGCTAACATTTACGGATACTGTATTGTACATTGTTTTGAAAGTTCAAAATTGTGCAACATACAACAGAGCGTGCGGTCAAATTTTACCGGTATATGGCAACGTCAAAACTGTCAAGCGGGTCAATATATAATTTGTTTGCGACGAGAAGCTCCAGGTCGAACCTAGGTTTATTTTCTGCTATATAGAATGCTCTCTCAGTACAAATTTATTCACTGTCAAAGTCGACCGATACGGACATCTTCGCGGATACATTGAATTTTAGTTTTTCGTTAATTTATTTTATTGTTGTTGTTCATTTATTAACAATTTTTAATTTAATCGTTATTCAAAATTGCTATGTATTTGAATGTTGTCATCAAAATTATATAAGATTAAATTGCCAGTTAAGTCTATATTGCATGTCGTAATCGCCTCTAATTAAAGTTCCACTAATAAGTGTCTTACTTACAATTTTTTATTTATTTAAACTTCAGGATATGGCGATAGGGCAAAATGCTTTATAATAAAACATTTAGAAAATAACAGCGATTAAAATATATTAATATTTTTATACTAAATTTGATACACCAACACAAACTACACAAATACATACATAAAATACAACAAATATAATATATAAATAGATACAAACTATAAATAATAAGAAAAAAAAGAAGAGATTGCGTAATCAGGTCAGGAAGTGTTCACGCATTATAAATGTGTCAAAAAGAAATGTCAAAGTATAACTTTGTTGGCGATCAAATAAATGAATAAATAAACGTGCCTATACTTAACGCTTTTTTAAATTTCGATCAAACCTCATTGGAAGCGTTTTGGTGTAAACCTTTGTCTCACTTTCATACTAGAAAAAGTAACGCAGCCGAAAGATGTAATTAGTTCTAATTTTCACCACTAGCACGTGGCGCCACGTGGAAATGCGCGCCATTTTACTCTTTGACAAAGTTCGCTTCATTTAACTTAAAAAACTGTTTTCTCGCAAATGTGTTGAAAAACGTTATATGATATTCGTGCAAAATTGATATTTACAAAATCGATTTTGCACGAATATCATATAACGAGTATGGTAAGCATACATTTGTCTACTCGTTTGTAATAACCAACTTACTGCACTAATATGATAAATAACTATTTCGAGATTCTTTGTCTTCGTGGTATACGGGAAAATTGACAGCCCATCTGCGCGGTTTCCGCGCAGCCGCTCTTCCACGCGGCACCGCTCCACCGCGATTCGCCGCGTTGTTCACCTTACTGCCGTTCTCAAGCTAAAACGCGGCTAAATGACAAAACGCACTTTTAAGACATGGCCAAAAAAACAACGTGTAAACTTTAAATTATTGCTATTTTGTAACCATTCATCACATGACGGATTTTTAGAGTTAAATTATAAAAGATACGAATACTTGCTAAAGACAGATCGATAGAGAATTAAAAACTGTTTAAGATGCAATTTAAGACTGAAAGATCAACCAAATGTCACTTAGCCGCACTTTAGTTTGAGAACGACAGCTTAGCGATCTTACATATGGCTCGATGGACTCCATAAAAGAGGTCCAATTTCTATATAATCTTTTAGAGAGGTCGAATGGGACTAATCTTGCAGTAAATACAGTTGCACTAATAAAAAAATGGATGCGTGTAACTTATGTACGCGCGTGAGAAGTTATACTTCTTTAGCATCATTAAAAATATTTTTTAATTGCTTGCAAATAATTAATAATTACAATAAAATAATAAAACGACTGGAAAAGGATAGTTAACACAGTCAATTAAGTTCAGTTTTAATTTGAAAAATTAAATAAATATTCAAAATATTCAATTAAAATCACTACTGAATTTAAGTTATTAGTCCATATGTAATTAGCACTTGTAAGTAACTAAAACACGATGTGTCTATATAGAAACTAGAAACATGTGGATAAATATTATAAATATGAAAACAGTGATCAGAGACGACGAGCGTGCCAACATTGTTTTTGACAACGCGATCATCTTATGGAGCTCCGTGGATCGTTCAAAGTACCTTTCGAACAGATGTCTAATAATGGTGGATTATTAACCACTAAGTGGTTAATAATCCACCATTATTAGACACTAACATTCATATCGCGCCCGCGGCCAACTTCATGCTGTTACTTTTGGGTTACAGTGATGCGCGCGCATCTAAAAATTTCACTCTCATCATTTTTTCATAATGCGCCTAAAGAAGTATAACTTCAAAAAAATTAAAGGTCCAGTGGGCTTATTGAAAACATTTTTTTAAGAAGGTCCAATGGGCCATATAATTTTGCTACAATGAGCACTTTTTGCTTTCGGGTCGAATCTTGAGAGTTCATGACTTTGGTACATTTTCTTAACCTTATTTTTAAGTATTCACTTTTTCCAAACTTCCTCTCTTTCCATTTTTATAACATCTAAGAAAAAAAATTGTAACCTGTTAAGAAAATGTCAATAAAAATTCCTAGTTTCTTTAAACCGACTAGAACCATTTAAACGGTTATTAAATGGAAAAAAATCTTATTTGCTTAACAAGTTAAGAAAAAGTGAATAGGTTAAATAAATGGGTGCGTGTACTTATGTAGGCGCGTGAGAAGTTATCCTTCTTTGGCATCGTTTAAAATTAGTTTTTAATTGCATGCAAATAATTAATTACAATAAATTAATAAAAAGTCTGGAAAAGGACACAGTCAATAAAGTTCAGTTTTAATTTGAAAAAATAAATAAATAATCAAAATATTCAATTAAAATCGCTACTGAATATAATTTATTAGAACATATGTGATTTGCACTTGTATGAAACTCAAACACGTATTCCGAATATATAAACTAGAAACATGTGGATAAATATTATAAATATGAATACCTATAACTGTTACTTTATTACAAAAAATAAAGATGTAGTTTTTGGTTCTACTACACCAATGGTCAAGAGATGGCGCTGTAGTCTCCTGAATCGCGCTTTGGTTCCGTTGTTCCAGATTAATAAATACTTTTGATAGGCCTTCACAATGCAATCGTTAGAACCCACTAAATAGAGATTCTATTTCTATTTTGTTGGTAGATTTTCTTAATGTGCGGTAAAGCGTCGCTAAAGCGACCAACTTCATGCTGTTAATTTTAGTGTTACAGTGATGCGCGCGCATCTTAAAATTTCACTCTCATCATTTTTTCATAACGCGCCTAAAGAAGTATAACTTCAAAAAGGTAAAGAAAATGGACTAAAGGAATTGCTCCGTGTGTGCAGTAAATGTTATTTAGGACATGACATTTCCAGGATGATTTCCACCGTGGCATGGACGGCCAAGGGCAGAGCTTGTACTGGTTTGGACCTAGACTCGGAAAACGCTCCGTTGAGGACCGCAGGTAAATAAATTTTAACATTGAAAATGATTTTTCGTTCGCTCCAGTAGGTCCCCATTTTCGCTGAAAGTGCGACTCGCCCGTGATACCCCGATATTTAGGGCCACGAGGACGAATTAAGGCTCAAAAGTCGCGGAATTCGAAGGGCTTTAAGATGGTGTAAATACTTTGAAAAAATTGGTTTTGAACAAAAAAATATGTTTTTTTTTTGGGATAATGTATAATAGGTAGATTCATTTTCCTTTTAAATCGTGTGTCACACGAGATCTGTGATTTTTTATTGTATTGTGTGTTTTTGACCTATCCAGCTCGAGAAGAGAGATGGAATGTACGATTTAGCGAGCTAAACTGCACTGCCACTATAACTGAGTCAGCATTAGGAGTCGCCCTATTGAGGGCTATCGCGTATGAATCCGCCGCTAGAGGCGCTTGTGTAGCGAGAGGTCTCCGAAATGTCAAATGTTATTGCTTGTGGGTTGACTACGCGGGTTTATTTCTAATTAAAATAATGTTGTGAATATTTAGTAATAACTCGGCTTAATTATAGCAAATATGAGTTACGTGGCATTGAATATCAGTTATTTAAAAGCGGAGCTAAGAAAAATAATTATGTCCTCCTTTTTGCCGTACAAAACGGAGCTGCGCAACACTGTGGTATGGCCAATTATGTTTAGGATACGGTTCTTTTGTATTAAAATATGGTTTAAATGTATACTTTGATTTCACGCGCGTATTAATAAACATTAAAAGTTACAATTCAGGACCTCACTCAACAGGGGCGCCATCTGGTGAGACAAAAAAAATGGGTGCGTGTACTTATGTAGGCGCGTGAGAAGTTATCCTTCTTTGGCATCGTTTAAAATTAGTTTTTAATTGCATGCAAATAATTAATTACAATAAATTAATAAAAAGTCTGGAAAAGGACGAAGTCAATAAAGTTCAGTTTTAATTTGAAAAAATAAATAAATAATCAAAATATTCAATTAAAATCGCTACTGAATATAATTTATTAGAACATATGTGATTTGCACTTGTATGAAACTCAAACACGTATTCCGAATATACAAACTAGAAACATGTGGATAAATATTATAAATATGAATACCTATAACTGTTACTTTATTACAAAAAATAAAGATGTGGTTTTTGGTTCTACTACACCAATGGTCAAGAGATGGCGCTGTAGTCTCCTGAATCGCGCTTTGGTTCCGTTGTTCCAGATTAATAAATACTTTTGATAGGCCTTCACAATGCAGTCGTGAGCACCCACCCGCTAAAGCGACCAACTTCATTATGTTAAAATTTTGTGTTACAGTGATGCGCGCGTATCTTAAAATTTCACTCTCATCATTTTTTCATAACGCGCCTAAAGAAGTATAACTTCAAAAACGGTAGCCCTCATTGGCAACGATCGTACGATGACACGATGCTTTCTCGTTGTGCGATGATTTCAACTATACTTACAAAGTTCACCAGAAGTATCCTAATTACAGCTTGTAAGCCGTCATACGAACACAAGCATTGTTTAATAACGATCGCACGACGGGTTAAATCGTACGATCATGTAATAATATACACCGGTCTCTTTTGCTTATCCTAATGAGGGCTACCGTTTTCTGCCTCACCAGATGGCGCCACTGTTGAGTGAGGTCCTAAATTGTAACTTTTAAAGTTTATTATAATACGCACATGAAATCAAAGGTTACATTTAGATCGTATTTTAACACAAAAGAACCATATCCTAAACATAATAGGTCATGCCACAGTGACGCGCAGTTCCGTTTTATTCGGAAAAAATGGGAACATAATCATTTTTCTAAGCTCAAATTTTTAATAACTGACATTCATTGCCACATAACTCATATTTGCCATAATTAAGCCGAATTGTTACCAATTATTCACAACATTATTTTAATTAGAAATAAACCCGCGTAGTCAACCAACAAGCAATAACATTTGACATTTCGGAGACCTCACGCTACACTAGCGCCTCTAGCGGCGGATTCATACGTGATAGCCCTCATTATATATATACATAATTATTTAAAGCTTATTTGTTTCTTAGGTTTTCACGCACATCACTCATTAAATAAAACTAGTTTTTTACGGGTTACTGCACGAGACTTTATTTATTTATTGACGTTTCGTAGCCTTTACAGGCTAAGTCGTCGGAATCAAATTTTATTTAATTTTGTCGAGCTACCTTCGAAAGACTTTTATTGAGCGTTCGGTTATTTCATTGTTTGATTTTCAAGTTTTATTGTCTATGTATGAATTTCTTACTTATTTTAGTTAATAAAGTATTTTATTTTATTTTTTTTGTAATTTTGAGTTTATTTATTTGACCCTAACTACCGTAAACTACCACCGGTTCCAAAATTGGGAGACCTTTCTGAGAAGAACCGGAGAAACAAACTCAAGGGAGGCTTTCTATCTCCTTCTTCATCCCAATTTAATAAATGAATTGTACAGAATATAGAAAATAACATTTTAAATACGTTAAAAAGTAATACAGTGTGGGACTGTGTGTGTGTGTACGCGTGTGTGCTTGTCTGTATGCAAGTAGGACAATGAGAGACAAGGACTTCGGGTAATGCTATTCCAGTCTTTTAACCACATTATAAAAAGAATTTGAGAAGTCTTCAGGAAAAAAAGTCATATTTTAATATAGCTATGTTGTTCTTAAGCATTTAAACAACACAAACAACAGCTAGATATTTAAAATCTATACAAAATATTTCTAGAAGAGTCCGGGTTTGAGTCCCGCCTGCTGCCTGAACCGCGTGGAATTTTTTCTAGTAAAATTTTCTTTTTATATTTCAGACACATTATTTTTTTTGTTGTAACAGGCAAAGTCTCGCTAAGCTCTTCGAAGCGGCGGACAATCTGAAATATTATTACGAACAGTTGCCTGCGTATGATTCACAATCGGAAAATACTGATCGGAAAGGTGAGTATCTAAATGGTGGTTTTCTATAATACAGCCATGAACAAGGATTTACATTAATATTATTTACAGGGTGGTCAAAAAGTCGTGGATCAAACGAAACAGGGAGATAAAGAAGGTTATTTCTAATAAAACACGCCGGGAGGTTGTTCAAAGACTAAACTTTTATTTTCTTAATACAGAGACAATAGACAATTATCAAGAAATGCTAATAGTTGACAACAGATGGCATTATTAGTATATATAAGAAAGAATATTATTTTGATAGTAATTTTAACATCTCCACTTATCAAAATAATCTAAACCCTATGTAACAATAAAAAAAAATACAGTCACAAACAATTCAGTGCATACTTAAAATATTGTTTTTTTTTTTTTTTTTTTTTTTTTTTGCACAGGTACTAATAAGCATAATTGAAAAACTGAAAATTGAAATTGAAAGTTTGTTTATTTATATATATATATATATATATCCAGATCACACAATAATATGCATACCTAGCTTCTTAACAAAATTGTTATGTTTGACACTACTCAAGCTTTTTGTCAGCAGGTCTGCAGGCATTTCAGATGTTGGCAGATAAACTATCTTTACATGTTTTTTAGCGACTGCTTCTCTAACAAAATGATGACGCACATCAATGTGTTTGGTTCTTTTATGGAACAATGGATTCTCTGTCAACTTCTGAGCCCCCTGATTATCATTAAACAAAGTTATTGTATAGTTACAAAAATCAACAATCTCATTCAACAAGTTTCTCAAATATATAGCCTCTTTACAAGCTTCTGTTATCGCCATATATTCGGCCTCTGTACTGGACAAGGCTACTGTCTGTTGTTTCTTACATTCGTAGGAGATAACAGATCCTGAGAACTTAAAGTAAAAACCTGTATAAGATTTCCTATCTTAAGTATTTGAGGCCCAGTCCGCATCAACAAAACCTTCTAAGTTACAATCATCTTTACTAAACATTAGCCCATAAGATTTAGTTTTACTTAAATATTTTAAAATTCGCTTTGCATGCCTCCAATGCGTGAGTGCATAACAATTATTAAATTGACTCAAAAAACTTACACTATATGAAATGTCTGGACGAGTTAAAACACTTAAGTACATCAAGCTTCCTAATAATTGTTGGTAAGGATATTGTTTGCAAACTTCAACACCTTTTTCTAGCTTTAAATTGCTCTCAATGGGAGTATCAACACTATTACAATTTGTCATATTAAATTTACTTAAAATATGATCTACAAAATGTTTTTGATCTAAAGAAATACAACCATTCTCATACACTTTTATTCTTATGCCTAAACATTGTTTTAACTGCCCTAAATCTTTAATTTTAAATTTTTGCATTAGTTCAATTTTAATCTCACTTACCATGTCATCACAATTAGAAAAAATGAAAAAATCATCTACGAAAATTGCTATAATAATCAGGTCCTTTTTACACCTTTTTACATATAAACATGGTTCTAATTTTGACTTGACAAAGTTGGATTTTATCAAACAATCATTTGCTTTTATATTCCAAGCCCTGGCTGATTGTTTTAGACCATAAATTGCTCGTTTTAACTTAAGTACAAAATTTTTGTCACAATTTAAGTTAGGAGGAGCTTGCATGTATACATTTTCGTTCAGGTCCCCATTTAGGAAAGCTGTAGTGACATCCAAATGAGTTATTTTTAAGTTAAATTTTACACTTAAAGCAAATAAAAGTCTTAATGTAGAGTAACGTAGCACTGGTGAGTATGTCTCTGTATAATCCACACCTTCTTTTTGCGTAAAGCCTTTCGCGACCAGTCTAGCCCTATAACGCACTTTATTATCACTTTCGAGCTTTTTCTTAAAAACCCACTTACACTGCACTACTCTATCAGCTTCTTTTCTGTCAACGAATTCCCATGCTTTATTATCTTCAAAAGCCTTTAGTTCTTCTGTCATCGCCTGTTCCCATAGTTCCTTCTCTGGTCCATTCATTGCTGTTCCATAGCTCAGTTCTTCACCACATGATTCCAGCTCATCTACAATGCAGAGATTGGAATAGCCGAATCTTTCTACTGGCTTTCTCTTGCGCTTACCAAGCTCCTCTGAGTTTTGAGCATTTTCTTCTAAAATAGATTCTAAGGTTGACTCATTATCACTTTCATACACAGATTGATATGAATCTTCGTGGGAACTTGATGAGTTATAGATATATGTAGGATCGTTAGCATCTATCGCTGAATTTTCTGACACACTTCCCTCTTTCTCTGAGTTTTCAACTTTCTTTAACATTTCTTCTTTATTTTTTGATGTTTTTTCTTCACTATTTACTACTACCTGAGCTGTGTCAGAGTATTCTTTCTCTATTATAATGACATCCCTGCTCGTAGTTATCTTCCTAGTTTTGGGTTTATATATTCTGTAACCTTTCACGTTATCAGGATAACCAACTAGGATTAATTTGTCAGCTTTCTTATCCCATTTTTGTCTTTGCACTTTGGGAACATGCACCATTACTTTACTCCCGAATATTCTGACATGGCTCAAGTCTGGCTTCCTGCCTGTCCACTTCTCGAATGGTGTCATCATGCCTAAGCTGGCAGCTGGCGTTCTGTTCATGAGATATACTGCAGTGTTTACTGCTTCACCCCAAAAACTTTTCTCGAGATCTGATTCAAACAATAAACATCTAGCCCGTTCAACTACAGTTCTGTTGAACCTTTCTGAGAGTCCATTCTGTTGTGGAGTGTGAGGATTGGTCTTCTGATGGATGATTCCTGTTTGTTTTAAGAAATGTTCCATCTGTTGTGAACAAAACTCACCCCCATTGTCAGTTCTCAATACTTTTATCTTGTTTCCCGTTTGATTTTCCACCAAAACTCGAAATTCTTTGAAATGCTGGAATACCTGGTTCTTCTCCTTTAAGAAATAGACATAAGTCATTCTGCTGGCATCATCTATGAACAGAAGAAAGTACTTTGCTTGACCAATCGATTTGGTCTCCATCGGCCCGCATAAATCTGAGTGTATCACATCCAGTATTATATCACTTCTATGATTAGCAGATGGGAAAGGAAAACGTGTCTGTTTTCCCTCACAGCACACTTCACAGTTCTGGATTCGAATGTCAGCTTTCTTGTCAAAAGTAACCCCTTCCACGGCACCTTCTTTCATCTTTTCTAGAGACTTGCTGTTTACATGTCCTAGCCTTCTATGCCACATTGTCATGGCCGATAATGCGCTCTCTAGTCTTTGTATTTGTAGCTTGTACACACCATTTGTTAAGTTTGCAACTCCTATTAGCTCATTTACTTGGTTATATATCAAACAGACTTTCTTCTTGAAAGTTACTCTGTTGCCATTAGCTATTAACTGGCTGACTGATAGTAAGTTTGTTGTGAGCTTCGGTATGTACAAAACATTCTTCACAATGACATCATGCCGAGATCCATTTACATTCGTCGTTATCTGTGTTTCACCAACACTTACAACAGGTACAGTCATTTGATTTGCGACTACTATTTCTTTGTATACATGCACGGGTCTATTTAGCAGTAAACAATCTCGATTTGCCGTCATGTGTGCGCTTGCACCCGAATCGACGTACCAGTCTTCTGTACTAAAATGTCCGTTGAAAAATGCAGCACTAAAAGCATTTGAAGTCCTCTTTGTTTTTAGTTCTGGACATTTGTTCTTAAAATGGCCTATTTTCTTGCAATTGTAGCATTTTATTTCTTTACTGCAGTTTTTATTTGCATTTGCACTGTCACTATTTGACTTTGACGTTTGCGATTTGACACCGCGGTTAGTGTTGCCACTTTTCCACCGCTGTTGTTTTGACCAAAATGCAGAGTCCGTTACAGTAGTGCCAACCTCCTCACACATGTCGAGTAACTTTGTCTTAATGACGTCAGCGCTAATGGCGATGCCAGAATGTTCGATCGCCATTATCATAGGTGAAAACTTATCTGGAAGTCCCGCCAACAGCAACGATCCAATCCACTCATCTGTGATTTCGAAACCTGTCCCCTTCAATTTTTGCGCTGTTTCAACTACTTGAGACACGTAGGTTGTCATGGAATCGCAGTTTTCAAGGCGGATTGAAATTAACGTTCGAAGCAAACTGATTTTTCGTTGATATCCTGTGTCATCGAACAATTGTTTCAATTTATTCCATACACCACTCACTGTAGTCTCACTCTTGATATGCGCGTATAATGAAGAATCAATAGTCATCACGAGTTTGGCTTTGGCTTTCTTCATCTCAGCTCCACTTATTTCCGCTGGTAGGTTCTCCAAGTCAATTCCCTCGAGTAGCAAAAAATTGCTTGTCGCGAACGCCCAATCGTCGTAGTTTTCGCGACCTTTGAGCTTTGGCACATTGACTAGGTAGCCCGACGTCGACATTTTTTACTTTTCTGACACAATTTAACTGTTTTATCGCGAATTAATTAGGAAAAAATGGGACTGGGCCCATAACCTAATAAAACACGCCGGGAGGTTGTTCAAAGACTAAACTTTTATTTTCTTAATACAGAGACAATAGACAATTATCAAGAAATGCTAATAGTTGACAACAGATGGCATTATTAGTATATATAAGAAAGAATATTATTTTGATAGTAATTTTAACAATTTCCAACAAAAAATCTTTCTGCAGCATGGCCATAACTTCATTGCACGAAAAGTTATAAATATTTTTGTGTTTTTCAATAAATCTACTGAGTTTTTTTACAATTTAATCAATAAAAAAATAAATTGATTAAACACAATAAAACAAAAGTTGTTGTATTATGACCGGATTATGTATCAATACTGCAAATATTGTATTGGAGCTCTCGGTACCAAATTTAACGAGCAATGAATTTTTTTCGTAAATTTTGAAGCGTTACAAAGAATTACTTCTCACTTTAGGAGCACCATGTGAAAAAAAAATGTATTACAGAAAAGTGATCCTGTATTAAAAAAACTTGCTGATTTAATGCTGATTCAAATGAGGTACAACACTTTACTGTGT